AAGGAGGAGGAGAAGGAGGAGGAGGAGGAGGCAACTGACATAAAATCTAACAACCCTCACCTGGCAGGTGGGGAAAAAACAAAAAAAACAAAAAAAAACAAAAAAAAACAATGTTTTGGGGACTACTTGGATATAGCCATGATCAGACTAGTCTGGAAAATACTGGTTTTTTTGTTTTTTGTTGTTTTTGTTTTTTTTTGTTTTTTTTTGTTTTTTTTGGTTCTTGGATTAATCTGGATTAATCCACGGCAAATTCAACATTTTATGAGGATATGTCTAACACTTTTTTTTAATATGAGAAGGCTTGCATGTGAGCTCTAAATCACGCATTTTTGCGCGCCCACAACATGCCTATGTGTTAATTTTATGGCTTATTTGGGCTTTGATGATGGTTCATTTGGATTGCATTATTTAAGATTTAATTTGGGTATATTTATGGCTGGTTTGGTGTTTCTTTATGTTTACGGTTGTGTTATATTGTTCCGAATTATGGCTGGTTTGGTGCTTGTTTGATTGTGTTTTAAGGTTTATTTAGTTTTGGTTCAGGTTTTTAGGTGTAATGTTAGGGCTTAGTTGGAGTTGTTTGGATGTTTTTTTGGTGCTTCTTTCAGTCCGTTTTAGGGATGTTTGTTTATGTAGGACGGTTGGTTTAGGTTTTATTGAGGGTTGGTTTGTGGCCTATTCAAGGTTGCTTGCTTTCGGGCTCAGAAAGGGTTAGTTCCAGAGATCAAAGGGTGAGAAGGATAAAGGACCAGGATGGGAGGGTAAGGGGCCAGGGGATCAAGAGGACCCAGGGACTAGGGGACCAGAGGACCAAGGGACCAGAGGACCAAGGAACCAGAGGACCAAGGGACCAAGGGACCAGGGGACCAGAGGACCAGGCGATCAGAGGATCAGGGGACCACCTTAAATTATGTTTCCAGTAATTTTATATTTTTTTCCAGGGTCCTAGATTGTTTTTCCCAGGAAACTTAGATTTGTTTCCAGTTTCATCCCCACATTGCTAGGTAAGATGAACCACCAAGGGCTGGTTGTTTGATCAAGTCACGTCATAGCAGCCTTATATCAACAACATTTTTGAAACTGTGTCTACACAAGCCAATTTGATGAAGTTTGAAAAAGATGTGACATATTGACTATATATTAACCATATATTAACCATTACTATGGACCATTATTGCCAAGTTTCATTTTTTTGCACAGAACACACATGTATTGATGGTGACATGTTACCTATTTCATCCAACCAATAAAATCCGTTGGTGGGATCTTGTCCTGTTCAGGAACACAACTCTTTTTACTTATCCTCCAGTAAACATTTATATACATACAGACAATCACCATGCTTGATAGGTAAATCATCCATAGCTGTGTTTTTTCCCCAGAAGCCATCACAAACTCAAGTGGGTTTGTCTAAAGTTTGTCTAAAAATGGGGACATTGATGATATTCTTTTGGATCTTCGGGTACCCTATATTCAGACAAACCCGAGTTAACCATAGTAAATCTAGTTGTACACCTAATATTCTAGACACACTAGACATATACATGTGTACCAATCTCTTATACATAATTCTTGGTGACTCTAGACATATACATGTGTACAAAAATATCTTATCACATTTTATATATTAAATAAAGTTATATACACATCATAGCTACCTTAAATGAACAAATAAATACGGTGTTTACCGCCGTTTTACCAGGCCACTGGAGGACGAAGAGCTCGAGTTCCGCTTTCGCTTGCGCTTGGACGTCATGACGTCATCCCATGGCGGCGTCCAAGGGATGGCGACCGAGGTGGATGTTTTGTACCCAATGGTAATTTTTGCATAACCAGATGGTAATGGGAAAAAACATGGTTAATATATGGTCAATATATGGTTAATAATGGTCCATAGTAATCATTTATATAGTTATATAAATGGTTGTTGTCTACTACCCTCTGGTTTTTTTCTATACGGTTGATATATGGTCAATATGTGGATGGGGATTGGATCCCGGATATGGGACTTCTGTAACCAACAATGTGATATTGAATTACCCTCTGGTGTTTTGTTACATAGCGAACTGGAAAATCACCATTCTAAAGGGGTAAATCAACCATAAAGATAGTTTGGTATGGAAAAATTGGGCTGCCAACACATCCGACTTTTGGCATGTTTAGTATTTTGTTGCGTTTTACGAAACCGGTGAGAACTCAAGCATTAACTTGATACGGCACATGGGCTTCCCAAAAATGGGGAATATCCACACGGCATCTG